TGGGTCTTGTCTTCAGAAGTACGTATTTCACCATATGCAGCCTAATTTTCCTTCCCCCATCAATATATTGGGTGCTACATTTCTGCTCAGTCATAGCAAGCAGCCATTAGGCCAGGGAGATAATTGGTCTGATTTGCCCCCCCCCCCCCCAATTAGATTTCAATGCTAAAGATGGATTACACCTTAGGAAGCCACTATTGCCAAGCTGCTGGTTTAGCATGCCTGCAGTTCTCAACCACTAAGCCTTGTGGAGTTTTATTGACAAATCGTGTTCCAGTATTTTCAAACACAAAGGTCTGATTCTAAAGCATTGTGTGAACTGTCCTCTTTATATAACACAAAATCACCATTATGAATAACTTGCTAAGAATCTAACCATATACATGTTTACTGAGAAGTGAGTTTTTCTGTGTTCAATGGGTCTTTTTTCTTACAAGTCAAAATCAGTACCCTCACTGTATTCAGTCTGGGTCTCTGGTTCAAAGCATTTCAGAATTACTGGACATTTTTTCCAACTAGCAGCAGAAAAAAAGAAAACAACATAAGCAACAAGTGAACCTACAATAAAGGTGCCAATACAGTGATATCTTGACCAGAATTTAATTTGTTCTGTGATTGTTCTTAAGTCAAAACATTCTCATCTCAAAACAATTTTCCCATTGAAATGCTATTAATCTGCTCCCGAGGGGTCTGAAAACCACCCCATTTTTGTTATGTATTTTCAAATTGGAAAATGTATTTTACCAATAACAAATAATGTATAAAATTTTCAGAAATAGGCAATGCTTGGTGCATCCAGCCATTGTGGCAAGAAATCATATTTGAGGTAACAAAATGTGTGTTGGCCAGTATAACAGCAAGGCAAGACAGCATCATTTTCATCATGCTGTGCGATATGTACAGTACTAATTCCAGCCTCCCTCTTGCTCTCGCCCTCCCTCTCTCTTTTTTTTGAAGCAAAACATAACAGTACCAGGAATAAAAAGCACACAAGTGAACTAAACCAAACTTCTGCTGTGGACAGCAACCTCTCAAAGCAGAGAGGAGCATGTGGCAAGCAGGCAAAGGCACGCAGGCCGAGGCACTGAGCTATGAGGTACAATGGTTGCTCCAGTCTGCTGCAAGCCCTGTACTTTTGCATTAGACCGAGGTTCTACTACACCAGGGTGCACTGAAATCTCTGGAGTGGAGTCTCTGGATTGGACTCCTCCCAGAACATTCAGGGGAAGCAATCACACAGAGCTGGAGCAGCTTAGGAAGAGCCAGAGATGTTCCAGCTAGGAATCCAGTCTAGGTTTTGTTTCTCTCTGTCTTGCTGTTAGAACTGGTTTAGGGGGCAAAGAGGCCTCTTTTGTACTGTTTATAGGTCAAAACCCCATTGAGGTGTCAAAATGTCACTCGAGGCCAAGTGAGGATTTGTAAGTTTTGTTGGGACATTCTTATATAAACGTTCTACTGTCCTATGAAAGCCCTGCCCTGTGTTGGAGTTCATCCTGTGATTGTGGCTAATGATCAGGGTACTTACTCTGGATGTTGGGAATGACAATGATGTTTCTGAGGGTCATGTACCTGATGATGTTTCTAATTATGAGATTGCCCTAGATGCAGAGAATGACAATGGGATTCCTGTTCAAAGTGTCTTTTCTGATGAGAATGCTCCTGAAGGGTTTGGGGATGATGGTATGGCCCCTGGAAGAGAGCCTGAATTGCTACCAGATAATTCCCAGGATTTTGAGCCTGAGAAAAGCTCAGCACCTGGGCCAGCTGCAGAAATTAATGAGCCTGTAGATAGAAGGCATATTTTCAGTCAGCATAGGCAAACAAACCAATCTTTCTGGTGCTCTGCCAGACTGTGAGAGAGATTGATATCAGAGTCAAGGATTAAACAAAATCTATTCCTGGCCGCTTGGGACATAGAGTAGATTAGGGGATAAAAGTGCCAAGTACATAATCTACAGTCAGATGAAGCAACATTGGAATTGAGTTAAGACATCTTTTCTGGTCCTTGGAAGCCTTGCCTTAGATAGATTCATGTATTTTGTGCTTTGTTTGACTTCATGAGTCAAGTTTTGGAGTTTTACCTTGGAAGTTTCTGTATTTGTTTTTCCATGAACTCTGATGGACTTATTTTTTGGACTATTTGTTTCTGCTTATCTTTCTACCTACTTTGATTTACCTATTTTTATGGAGTGTTTTTTTTTACTGCTACTGCTTTTTAAGTATCTTCAATAAACTGCTTTCATTTTTACTCACCTGTGTGGTGTTTAAAGTCTGAGGGCTTTCTGGGCCAGGAGTACAACACCCTGTTGCATAGTGCACTAGTGATAAGGAAAACATTTTAGAAAGACATTCCAACTAATCTCAAAACCTTAATTATGCTGATAGAAGTGCATTTCTGTCTTCCTCGTTGTCCCTTTGTATGAAATAACTTGAGGGTTCCAACAAAATGGCAAATCAAAAAGGTTGTGGCTTATAGGTCACCTGTTCTTCACCCTGTCCATCCCATTACTTAAACATTTACACGTGCCTCCCCACTGCAGGCAATCAAGCTTAAAATTAGCTTGCATTAATCTAAGAGGGTTACAGTAAACATTGGTCTACAAGTCGCAAATAATACACATTCATGGTTTACTTGAGGGAAGTATATAAGGATATTTTGTTTTATTCCACTCTTTTTTTCCATTTTTATTTGGAGAAATTCACATAATTATTCTTGATTGGCCTTGAAAAGGCAATCAGCATGATCCAGAGTTAAACATTAAATGTGGAGCATTAGCTCTGCCAGAGGAGTAATTACTAAACGCATATGAAAATGTCAATACTTGGCAACACACACCGTTAGTAAATGAAGCTCTATGCTTTGTTCGTGAACTAATTAAATGTGTTGATGGAGCAAGAGTGGGTGGTGAGATTATTCTGAAGAGATTGATCTCTCATATTTTATGGTGAAAGTGGGATTAAATCAGAGCCCATTTGAAAAGAGAAAATGTTGAACCATATTATGAAAAGCCTGATCTCTCTCGTCTAGGCCCTGGCTTTCTGAGCTCAGCGAAGTTGCCACATCATGTGCTTTCAAATCATACCTCACCATTGGAACATTTCAAGGGCCTTCATTTGGCCTGGACCCTGTTCTGGTCTGGCAAATGCATTGAAAAGTTTTTAACAGGGTTGTGCATTGACCACCATACGTAGACCTTATTCAGTGATTCAGGAAAGAGCCCAGTTTGGCTCAGACCAGTTCAGAAGTTTCCCCATTTGATTTAGGTTCAGGGGCAGCTGGTAGTTCCAATGTTAGTGGGGTTTAGTCTAAGCTTTAGAGAGCTTTCCAAGTTTTTGCATCCATTTTGGACAAAAGGTTCACAGCCTTGGATATTACTATCAGATAAAAACCTGTTGCTAATTCACTATTTTACCCAAATGGGAGTTGCAAGGTTGACTGTACTAGAGTTGTGCGCAGAACCATTTTCCTTTGTTTCATTCGTTCTTTTGTTACTTTCATTACCTTTGGGAGCATGTAACGGGAAGCCCCCTCCCGGTAGGAAAATCAGCTTGATACAAAAGCAAGCGGGAGCTGATCCCAGCTCCTCGACTGCTTTTCGTGAGCATGTAGTGCTCCATGCCTCCCTGCCTTAGGAAGTGTGTGTGTGTGTGTGTAGTGTTTAGGCCTAGAAAGCACGTGTGCCTGCCTGCAGCTGAGCACCTCCTTTAGAGTAAACCACAGAAATGCCTGGAAAGCCCCCCACCCCACCCCCGAAAAATTATGGGCCGATAGAAAACAGATCTTTCAGCATCCCAGAGCGAAAACAGATATCTGCCCTTCTGATTTTATAACCCAGTTCAAAGCAGGGGCCTTATTCTCCATGTCACAGCAAAGCAGAGACACAACCCATAAAAAAGAAGAAAAGTACTTCTGAGTAATAGCACTTAAAATATAGACATTCCTGGCCTTCAGAGGACAGCTTGGTGGCTTCTTTTAAAGAGTTTTGCTACAAAATGAAGACCTTTACAAAATGTAAACTCATATAATCCAGTTCAAAGCAGATAATGTGGATTATCAACTTTGATAATCTGGATTATATGGCATCATAGAGGGGGCCTAACTGGTGCCATCATAATGTTATGTAGAATTGCATAGCATTTTATGATTAATAATAATGACACAATTGACATTGCGCTTTATCTCCCCGGAGGGACTTAGGGCCCTTTTTAACATAGCCATATAACCCAAATATCAAGGCAGAAAATCCCACAATATCTGCTTTGAACTGGTTTATCTGAGTCCACATTGTCACATACTCCAGTTCAAAGCTGACATTGTGGGATTTTCTGCCTTGATATTCTGGGTTATAGGGCTGCATGGAACAGCCCTCAGAGCAGATTACAATACACATATGAGGCAAACATTCTATGCCTTTTCTACACAGTGAACAACAATATGCAACACAGAGAAAGGTAAAGGCCTTCCGCTTTTTTCTATCTCTGGCATGTGGAGGCAATGCTCAACTCCAGCCATGAGGAGGTTCTCTTGTTCCATTTTTCCATGCCGAGTAGCCTGTTGTCCATAGACATCTCCAACTGTCTTGCCAGCATGTCTACATATCTGCATGGGGTACTCTTTTACCTTCCTGTCAAGGTGGTACCTATTGATCTACTCACATTGCATGCTTTCGAACTGCTAGGTTGGCAGGAACTAGTGTTGACAGTCGGGAGCTCACCCCGACTCGTGGCTTCGAACTGTCAACCTTCCGGTCAGCAGATTTCCTGCAGCTAGGAGTTTAACCCACTGTGCTACTATCATCAGCTGCCTGAGTGGTGTGTCAACTCTGGAAGGAAAGAAAATAATTTTTGTATAAATAAACAAAAATAGTTCTGCAAGCTAAAATGCAGTGGGCAGGAAACATAATTTGTCTGAGTATTCAAATATTGATTGTCATTCCACTTCCTGTAAAATTAATGCAACTCTTTCCTCTCTTTCTCCCTCTCTCTCCCTCTTGCTGCAGCGAACATTTTGACAGTCATCATCCTGTCGCAGTTGGTGGCGCGCAGACAAAAGTCCTCCTACAATTACCTTTTAGCTCTAGCAGCTGCTGACTTACTGGTACTCTTCTTCATTGTCTTTGTTGACTTTCTGTTGGAAGACTTCATCCTGAAGAAGCAAATGCCCGAGATCCTGGACAAAATTATTGAGGTCTTGGAATTTTCTTCTATTCACACGTCCATTTGGATTACTGTGCCATTAACTATTGACCGGTACATAGCAGTCTGCCATCCGCTCAAATACCACATGGTTTCTTACCCGGCTCGCACTCGAAAAGTCATTTTAAGTGTTTACATCATTTGTTTCCTGACCAGCATTCCATACTATTGGTGGCCCAATATTTGGAAGGAAGACTACACAAGTACAGTGATTCATCACATCCTCATTTGGATCCACTGCTTTACTGTCTACTTAGTCCCTTGCTCTATTTTCTTCATCCTGAATTCAATCATTGTGTACAAGCTTCGTCAGAAGTGCAATTTCCGACTGAGAGGGTATTCTACAGGGAAAACCACCGCCATCTTGTTTACAATCACCTCCATTTTTGCCATCCTTTGGGCACCGAGGATTATCATGATACTATATCACCTGTATGTCTCCCCAATAAACAACAGCTGGTCGGTCCACATTGTCTCAGATGTCGCCAACATGCTAGCCCTGTTGAACACCGCCATCAACTTTTTCCTGTACTGTTTTATTAGCAAGCGATTCCGCACAATGGCCGCTGCAACGCTTAAGGCCTTCTTTAAATGCCAGAAGCAACCTGTTCAGTTCTATACAAACCATAACTTTTCAATCACCAGCAGCCCATGGATATCCCCAGCCAACTCTCACTGTGTTAAAATGCTCGTTTACCAATATGATAAGAATGGGAAGCCTATAAAAATATCGCCCTGATTGTGATGCAGATGGTTCCCTCCGGGTGCAAGATATGTTGAAGTTGTTACGTTCGTGGGATGTTATGGCCCAAATCGTCAACTGCAAAGAGCAGCCGTTGGATTTCATGTCTCCCTGAGATTCAGAAGATCGTTAGGGTAGAACTGGAATAAACAGGAGAAAAACAAGGAGAAAGCAAATCAGCTTCACCTCCTTTAAGCACATGGTGTAACCTTGAAACAAGAGTGCCACGAAATGTTCTTGGTGAAAAACTATTCCAGTGCAGATGTATTACTTTGAATGAACTGGGTTGATCAAAATACATCCACACTGAATAATCTATCTATCTATACATATCTATCTATCTATTTATCTATCTATCTATCTATCTATCTATGGATGAGGGTTGTTGCCTTACTTGCCCTCGATTATTTGGTTTCCTTTTCTTTTCTGTTGCATTTTATATCTGGCATGGAATCCTACTGCACAGATTTTCTACAGACAGCACAGAAACAAAGTGAGCCACCCACAAAGTATTTGTAGGAAGCCTATGCTCAACTTTGAGGATTCTCTGGGACAGAAATGGGAGTCACCTTTCAGCCATAGCATGCCAAGCAATGAGGAAGTACTTGCAGCCATCAACTTGAATGCTGAGTCTGACACCATATCCAAAATTGTTAATGAAAAGGAGAAGAATGTTATCCCAATAATAATAATAATAATAATAATAATAATAATAATACCAACAACAATCAAAACACACAACACTTGGGCATCCCTTTTGGAATCATGACCTTTAAAGGCTCCATGCCCACGCCTTGCAAGGTGCTTTGTTTATCTATATTCCTTTGCATTTTAATGGAGTCTATAATACCCATTGGAGCCTAAGGACATTGTAAGACTTTTCCTGGCGAAGCTCTTGTTTGTTGTTTGCATATATGGAGGAGGGTAAGATTGTAGGAAACATAGGGGCCCTTTGTACCTATAAATTCCAGCATTTCCTCATCCATCCTTAAAAGTTATTGGGATGAGAGAGAGATGCTTGTGGAAGTCACATACCATCAACCTCGAGATTTTCCACCATGTTGTTTGGACCGCATGTTTAAAAGAAGCAAAGGTTTCTTCAAAAGAACCATCTTCACAATCTACTAAATATATTACAGATGTCACCGGCAGATGAAGCCACAAGTAGCAAATGAAGCAAAGGAAATGGACATTGTTTACTATTTCTTGTTGAGTAATTGTTTCAGTGCATGCTCGCCTTAAATAATACGAAACGGTATATAACCCATACAATCTTGTTCATTTGTGGGATTTTGACACATGAGTGGACTGTTTCTATATGCTTTCCAGTCACTTTATTAAATGTGAGCCAAATTCTGCTCCACACTTTTTTTCAGTAGAAATGGTCTCAAACCCATTAAAAAGATCTAAAGGTGGGATTCTGGAAAGGCAGGCCAGATCTACACTGCCATATAATCCAGTTCAAAACAGATAATCTGGATTCAGAAACAAGTTTATATGGCAGTGTAGATGGGGCCTCAGATACCATGTTGCCTAATACCATGTTGACTGTAGTTAAACTAGATTAATGTGTTTATAGTTCCTTTTCATACTTATGGTAGTGAATAGATACTACTGCTGACAATTAAGTGAGTATTACATTCATTTGGCAGGAAAATTGCAAGGTTGGGTCAGCTTTGCTTAGCAGCTTCATAGGGGTGAAGGCTTGAAAGTTTAATATGTTAGGGAAAAAACAGCAGGATGGTTGCGTGATTTATAGTTTTCTCCTTTCTCAATCATGCCCTCCCTATGCTGCGCACTGAACTGATTGTCTTAGAGGCAAGCTATAAAAATCAACCCAAACATTACAGAGTTCTTTATCAGTAGACAGTAGAGTTTTTACTGCACAGCCTGACCTTGTGCCACTCACTGTTTAATGAAACACTTTCACTCTGGTTTTCAGAGGCTTTTAATCTTGACACATTGCTTTTATGTACAATTATATAAACACATCAGGATCGCATCATATCCTATCAGTATATACAATGATATACTTACAACAGATATCAGCAAGAGATGTACAGCAAGAAGTGAGAATCATAGCAAGAGAGAAGGTACATACTTACTACCCACTTTTAAACCCATTGCTTCTCATGATCAAACTGGGACAAAATGGAAATGGTGTAATTCTTGTCATGCCTGTCACATGGTCATGACTCAAGCTTCTTTGTATGTCCTTCAAGTTCCACATTACCATTTACTTAACCCTTCAGTGGGTATGTGACCAGATGTTCATTAGAACTGTATTTTCCAATAAGTAATGCACAATGGGGTCTCAGTCAGTGCATTTTCTATCTAACAGTCTAACATAATATGTCCATGCTCTATATTCATTGGGTTTCTTCTCCCCATAGAATAGTAGGGAAGCATAGGTACAATCATGCAGGATCCAAATATCTTTCCTCTAGCCATGATTCTCTGGTATTCTTGAGTCAGAAGACATTTATTTCAATAGGATTTGCTATTATCGGAGGTTTCGCATCTCCATGTGAAGCCCAGGAACATATCCCCTGTGGATACAGGGGCCCTACTATAGTTTTTTGAAATTGAATCTACTCCAATATTCTGGAACTTTGCTTAACTAGGTCTCCTTCTACACTGCCATTTGTTGTTTATTCATTCAGTCGCTTCCGACTCTTTGTGGCCTCATGGGCCAGGCCATGCTAGAGTTCCCTGTTAGCCGTCGCCACCCCCAGTTCCTTCAAAGTCAAGCAAGTCACTTCAAGGATACCATCCATCCATCTTGCCATTGGTCGGCCCCTCTTCCTTTTTTCTTCCATTTTCCCCAGCATCATTGTCTTCTCCAAACTTTCCTGTCTTCTCTATGTGGCCAAAGTATTTCATCTTTGCCTCTAATATACTTTCCTCCTGTGAGCACCCGGGCTTTATTTCCTGAAGTATGAACTGGTTGGATCTTCTCACGGTCCAAGGAACTCTCAGAATTTTCCACCAACACCACCATTCAAAAGCGTCTATCTTCCTTCGCTCAGCCTTCCTTATGGTCCAGCTCTCACATCCATAGGTTACTATGGGGAATACCATTGCTTTAACTGTGTGGATCTTCGTTGCCATTGTGATGTCTCCACTATTTTATCGAGATTGGCCATTGCTCTCCTCCAAACATCTTCTGATTTCCTAGCTGCAGTCCACGTCTGCAGTAAACTTCCCGCCTAGAAATACAAAGTCTGTCATTGCCTCCACGTTTTCTCCCTCTGTTTGCAAGTTATCAATCAGTCTTTGTCATAATATTGGGGTATTTTTATGTTTAACTGCAACCCAGCTTTTGCACTTTATTCTTTCACCTTGGTTAGAAGAACACTGCCATATAATCCAGATTATCGAAGCAGATCATCCGCATTATGTGTTGTCAGAAGCTTTTATGGCTTGGTTGCTATGAATTTTTTGGGCTGTATGGCCATGTTCAATCGGAAATTTTAATGAAGCCTTTGCCTTGCTGGAGGGATTGAAAACTAGGCAACCTTTTGTAGCCCTCAAAAGTATTTGCATGCAGGGATATGCAGCACATTTCATGTACTAAGAATCTGGAAAAGGGGCCCAAAAACTTAAAGTCATTTTTAGCAGAGTTTTATTCTGCGTTGGGTCCTGATCAAAGGAATGTTACCTTTTGGCTACAACCCCCAGAATCCCCAAACATCATGACCTCTGCCAACTGGGGGATTGCAGCTACTGTAGTTACAATTTTTGAGGTCTGGTTAAACCACATGCAATGATTGTATATACTAAGAACATTTACTGCAATAAGAAGTCAGTGAAAAATGTTAATGGCCATAACAATGACAAAATAATGCACAAATATCCAGTGCTTTACTACAAGCTTGAATGTTCTGGAACATAAACCATATGTTCCAATCCTCCACTTCTTAGTCCTTTTCCTTTTGTACCTTTATTTTATTAACCTTTGAAATGTTCTGTGTTCTTGAGTTTGGATGATCACATATCATTGTTCCTCTGAAATGTGCTTGCCGGAAGGCTAGATGGAGGAATTACATGATTGTATACATCAAAGTGCATATATATACACAATACACAAAGTGCATATATATACACAATATATATATATATAAGATTGACAAATGTATTTTATATCTGAACTAGCATGAGTGCCCGCCATTGCATGGGTTATTTGAAAATGTCATATTTTTTTTTACAAAATGCATAAGGTTAGGTAAACTACAACTCACATCAGGCCAGGTTAATCCCCTGAAACTCCAGCAGTAATTAAAGTTTGTCATGTTGGAGAAGGTTGCTCTAGAAGCATCATCAGTGGGGTTCAGTGTGGTCTCTGGCTGGTGGGTCAGTCCCCTCAAATCCCTCCAGTAGGTTCAGTCGGTCATAGGGGTTTTGTTTGCCAAGTTTGGTCCAGATCCCTCATCAGTGGTGGTCACAGTGTCTCTGGATGTAAGTGAACTATAACTTCCAGAAATGAAGGTCTGTCCCGTGTCCCGTCCCCCGTCCCCAAAAAAAACCCTCCAGTATTTTCAGTTGGCCATGGTGGTTCCATGTGCCAAGTTTGATTCAGGTCCATCGTCAGTGCGGTTCACATTTTCTCTGGTTATATGTAAACTACAACTCCAAAAATCAAGCTCAATCCCTCCCAAACCCTTCCAGTACTCAAATTTGGGCATATCAGGCATGTGTGCATCATAGTTTGGGATCATGGTGCTCTCTGGATGTAGGTGAACTACAACTCCCCCCAAATTAAGTTGAATTCCCCCCCCCCAAAAGCCCTCAATTATTTTTTGTTGGTCATGGGGGTTCTGTGTGCTAAGTTAGGTCACAAATCTAAAAAATTTCAAGAATGTGTCCCCCTCAGATACAGGGGTCATACTGTATATTAGAGGTGTGCAAATCTTCATTTTAAAATTGTACGTCATGTGTAATGTGTAAGTTTTGTATATATGAACAGATATTTAAAAACACGGGGGGGTGGGGCTGTCCATGCAAAAACTTAAAATCAAAACTCACCCAATGCTCGGAAGCCTATCAAACTCCATTTTTATCTCACTCTTCAAAAGCCCTATTTTGTAGACTTGCTTTAGTGCAGTGGTTCCCAACCTGTGGTCCATGGACCACCAGTGTTTTGCAAGAACTAAAATATGGTCCACGACCTCACTGTTACTACACCGTTGCAACAAGAGCAACTGGTCTAACAAAACCCTCTTATAGTGCCAAGGCTTATTAAATATGGTTTTCTGTGGGTGAGCAGATGGCGACTACTGGATGACATTTGTTCTGTATCAGAAGCTAGAGCTTATGTGGTTTGAAGTCTTGGTTCTATCTTCTCCTCTCCTCTGCTTCAGTTCCCCCTGTTCATAGCCTTTCCCAATAGTATAGTTACCTTCCTTTGTATTCATTTTTAAGTGGATCATAAAAACACCCCCCAGAGGCGAATGTTAGTTGGTCTATTCCATTTCCCTGTACAGAGCTTCTTGCTGTACTCCTCTTTTTTTCTACAGTCACTAGAGGCTTGGGACATTGTCTGGAAATCTCAGTTCAAAGCAATCCAAAACCAGGAATTCTTAGTACCTGCATTCAGCAATATTTTATACCTTCAGTTCAAAGGACAACAGAAGCTTTTGGCTAGCCTAAGCTTCACAGGAAAGAAGATTAAGACAATTCCCCAGAAGCATTTGGTCATTTGGACTGGGGAATTGTGGGAATTAAGCCTTGCTAGAAGGCAGGCTCATATTTCTTTGGGCCCCTTCCACACTGTCATAAAATCTAGATTATTCCTCTTTGAACTGGATTATATGGCAGTGTAAACTCATTTAATCCAGTTCAAAGCAGATAAAGTGGATTATCTGCTTTGATCATCTGGATTATATGGCAGTGTAGAATGGGCCTTGTATTTCACTTGTATTTCAAGTGTTTATTGTTGTAGGAGGGTGAGGAAGAGGAGATGGGGGAAACCTGTTACATTTGGACCATACAATGAAGTTTGTATATAGGTACTTTCAGTTTCAGCCTTTTCCTCATTTCAAGACAAAACATTATGAACAAAGACAAAATATTGACTACGGACTATTCTATTAATGTAATTTACTGCCTATTGAAACTGTAACTACTGATATTTTCATAAATATGTTTGGCAATATCTGTTTGTATCTGAATAAAATTCTCCAACACAGTGGCTGTATCTCTTTTTTGCTAAGTTTTAATTTGCTTTTCCACTTTAAAAATAGTGCTGCAGAAAACTAACACAAATAATTTCAAAAAAAAATTTGGGGAAAAATTGACCCTGAATGAGTAGGCTGATTTATTTGCTTCATTTTTATCCCCACCTTTTCCACCCCGCAGGGGACTCAAGGTGACTTACAAACTGGAAAATTCAATGCTGCATGGACATAACAATAAAAGAGGCCCCAGATATTGTGGATTATCTGCCTTGATATTCTGGGTTATAAGGCTGTGTGGAAGAGTCCTCTGAATTCCTAATGTCCTCCCTGATCTACCAGTGCCAACATTTGCCAGGAAGGAATTATGACAATTATAGTGGAATCTAAGGACTCTTCCAGACAGCCCAGAAATACATGCCAAAGCGGGTGTTAAAAATCTGCTTTAGCGTGGATTTCTGTCCCCACTCCCAACCAAAAGCCCTGGCTTTCTGGGGGAGGGAGGGGAGGAGATGGCTACATGCCATTCAGATTACTATCAAGATTGCATGCAGCCACCCCAAAGCCCCCCAATTTCACCCTAAAAACTAAAAAACTTACTGGGACACCATAACGTTCCTCCTCATGTCCTCCTGGCATGAGGAAATGACATGCCAGGAGACCTGGTTGGGGGAGGGGATGGATGATTGAGGAAGAATGTTATATGTATGGTTTTTGTTTTTACTTGTTAGAGGGAAATTTGAGGTTTGCGCAGAGGGGTGGGTGCCCACTTGAAGCCTAAAAAAGCTGTGTGGACTGGGCCTGGGAATCACATGACACGGTCTCGAGGTCCAATCCACACATGGGCAATACCTGATTACACCAAACATAATTTGGTTTTACCGGAGGCATTATTTGGATGCCCCTGGTAAAACCAAGACAGGTCCGGTTTTTGGGCCTGTCTGGATGGGCCAGTATTGCTATAACTCTGCAGCGTGATGGTAGACTTTAACTCTGGGAACAGAGTTCTCCATATTCTGCCCTGGCTTTGTCCAACTGAAGCCCCTTCTATCCTGCCATATAATACAGATTATCAAAGCAGATAATCCACATGATCTGCTTTGAACCGGATTATATGAATCTACACTGCCATATAATCCAGTTCAAAGTAGATAATCTGAATTTTACATGGCAATAAAGATGGGGTCCAAGTTCTCTGTATAGCAGCCAGGAACAAGATGGAGTTGCAGAAGTCAATGATGATTCCATCTTCCACTCCACTTTGGTCAGCTTGCTGAATTTGACTGTAAAATTGTGATGGGTTCCTTTAGTTTACCACCTACCTTACTGCTCAAGTCTCCCTTCCTGAGATGATTGAGCTGGTCTTGGTGTTGAGGTTCCTGCAACTTGTTGTCCTGGGGAACTTCAATATCCATGGTGAGACTGCTCCGTCAGGAGTAGGCCATCATTCCATGTCTTCCTGGAACTGTCTGGCATCACCTATGCAGCAAGGACACACTCTAGTTTTCTATGCTGGGAGGGATGATGGAGGTATGGGCATGGAAGACAGTCCTGTAGTTTCATTGACATGAACAGACCATTCCATGTTAGGGTTTTGACTCATTGGGACTTCGAGCCTCTACAGCAGTGTGTTCCCAGACTCTGATCATCCATTTTGGGCTTCCAAAATTCCTGACCATTGGCCAAGTTCATTGTGACTTCTGGGAGCTGAAGTCCAAAATAGCTAGAGGACCAAAGTTTGGGGAACACTGCTCAGCAGGAAGGGTGGGTGATTGTTTGACCATGTGTAGAGGACCTTACTTACCGGTCCAAAGTCAGATGCAAAGCAAGCTTATAAACCCTTTAGCTGTTGTCATCCAACGCTCATCCAACGTGCCTTTCAAAGCAGCTGTTTAGCACAGCTGATATGAGGGGTAGCTATGTCCAAACCACTTATTGCTGAACTCCTGCTGACTTTTCCTTTTTAGCTTTCTCATTTCTCCTTAGTCTTCTTTCAGAGAGAGAAAAAGCACTCTCAGCCCCACTGAGCAGAGCAAATAAGAGCCGCCTTGGCAGACTCAGATTGTTAAATAATAATCATGCAATTACCTCTCCAAGGCTGGAATTGATGGCTCAGCCATTATGGCAGCATGCAATTAATCTAAGCGCATGCAACACTTTCCAGACACAACAAAGAGCCCAAGACACTCCAGACCTATGCCACGCAAAGACAATGGGAATGGATTTACATGCAGTCAATTGGGGGGGGGGGGGCATGTGTTTACAGTGGAAACCTTTTTGGAAGCCTGATTTGCAAAACTGCATAGTCTTACCATGGATAGTAATTTCAAATATCGCAACCGTACTTTCCAATCCCATCAATGAGGTGATGCCCAAAACAGCTGCTAACAAGAGCAATACTTCCTTTTTTAAAATTGGTTTTCAGAAAGAAAGAAAAGAAAACATACAACACCATGAGATACAAAGAAGAAAAGACACACAAATATATTTATTTTTATTTCCGTCACTTTTACCCCGCCCTTCTCACCCCCAAGGGGGGACTCAGGGCAGCTTACAGGGAAAGGCACAATTCGATGCCTTGTCACATATACATACATATATAAAAACAATTAAGCAATTACAATTAAAAATTAAATCATCAGTACACAGTAACACCATAAACACAGTAGTAGGCTAATCCTGAGCTCAGCGTTCGGAGTTCCGTAAATCCATTCCGTCTTGTCCAGTTCCAGCTCGTCATCAAGTCTTTCTTTAGCTGCCAGAATGTCCAAATGCCTGGTCCCACATCCAGGTCTTCAACATCTTCCTAAATGATAGAAGGGACGTTGCCGATCTAATCTCCCCGGGGAGTGAGTTCCACAGGTGGGGGGCCACCACCGAGAAGGCC